AGGGGGAGAGGCAGAGGGAGAAGGAGACTCCCCACCGAGCAGGGAGCCCGATGTGGGGGCTCGATCCCAGGACCCTGCGATCATGACCTGAGCCGAAGGCAGACGCTTAACCGACTGAGCCACTCGGGCGCCCACATTATTAGTATCTTATATATATTTCTATTGCCAAACCACCATATTGTTTTGAAATTATCTATTTAAATGTATTTATCAGTAGAATATAAACTCCATGAAGACAAGAATTTTCTATGTCCGGTTTATGACATGAACTAGATTCTTAATACCTTGGAACTGTGCCTGATGTGTAACAGGAACTCACAGATATTTGGTGAATGAAAGAAGGAATATATCATTCATTTCCACTAGACTGTTCATTCTTTGGCACATTTAAGTGTTTAATAAATGTCTATCAAATTAAAGGTGAACAACTTAGTTGTCTGTATAGCTAAATCTTTTTGAACCAAGAGCAATAAAGAGAATATCAGAAATTAACAATATTCTGCATTCCATGGGGAAGGCAAAAATCTCTATTTTACTACAGACTGCTTGATCATTCTAGCATCACCTGATATTTAAAAGATGAAGACTGGAAATCTGGGTTATCAAGAGAAGTCACGACCATTTCCTTCTCATTCAAGAATGTTCTAATCTGGGTATTAATTAAATATTATCTGATAATCTATTTCATCCAATTTATTTATTTGTTGTGCCCTGAAACTATGATAATATACCATAAGTAAAATACTCTGAAAAATGTAGGATAAAAATTGTTAACTGAATATATTACTCAAAATAATGGTCTAGCCCTTCCTAGCAGAGAAAACATTTAAATTATATTTATATATAGCTATATAAGCATGTCTTCAATTAAAGGATAGTCATCTTCCTGCTGTAATTTGAAATTGCATATTTACAAATCTTAATATTAGGAGCATGTACTTACATGATTTTCATGAATAAAATAAAACATATTAAACTGGCACAACTATGGGAAAAGTTAAAATATTAAAAACTCAAATTATAAAATATTTAAAGAAGTGTGATTTTACTGCTTTCAAGCTCATAAACCCTGATAGCTCAAAAACTCAGTACTCAGTAGATCTCTTCGAGTGAATTATTTTAATTAGTGGATTAGAGTACTTTGCCTTTTACCAATCCACTTATTATCAATAAATACTTTTAGCAAAGCATATGAAAGTGGTCCAAAACTTTCATTTTCTAAGTATGTTTCAATAGTAGAATGGCACTCTTACTTATACTGATTTGTTTTGAGAATATTTTTATTGAAAATTATAAAGTAAATTTTAGCGGTAAACATTGGAGTCAGTGAGTCAAAAATTCTGGCTCCTTGTCTTAGGAGCTGAGTGATTCTGAACAAATTATTTAATCTCTTTAAATTATAATTTTTGCATCTCCCAAATGGGGAAATAATGGTACTTATTTTGGGAATGATATAAAAATTACAAGAGATAAGTATCTATGTAAAATCCTCAGCATAATGCAGACCCTTGATATAAGCTGTTGTTAGTTATTATTACCATTATTATTATTCTTGGTGGTAGTAGTGGCAAAAATGCCGTATGAACTGTCATAAATCTTCAACTAGCAGAGTCTTCATAAGACAATGAAACTTCACAGTATTTTGACAACTACCAAGAAATGCTGGCAAAAGGCATTATGAGTTTCAACATCTGCTATCACTCTAAAAGTAGATTAAGTTATAACTTAATAACTGAGTAAATCTTAGTCTGCTAAATGCAATTACACTCTATTTGTTGAGTTCTGAATGTCTACACTTCTTGTCACCTGCCCTACACCCACGTTATCTGCTACCCGGTTTAGCGTATGGCTTGAAATATATGCAATCTGATGACTTGAGAACTTCATGAATACTAAACCACAGTTCCAGCATTTTCCTACAACACAGCCTCTGCTCCCGTGGCACCATCCTCAGACTTGACATCCTGCCCCAACAACTGGCTTAGATACACCTGCACTAAACTTTTCACAGCCACTCTCCTCTGACACAATTTCTTCCTCTGAGCTTTTGCAGAAACCACGCTCTCCAACATGGGCGCCGGTAGCTGCGCCTGACTCTTTCAGGTTAAATTTAAATTAAATAAAATTAAAAATCCACTTCTTCTGTTGCATTAGCTACCTTTCAGCAACCACACATGGCCAGTGACTACCGTATTTGATCGCGCAGATACAGAACATTTTTATCACTGCAGAACGTTTTATCACGCATCACTAATCCAGACTAATTTTCCCTCAAGCACATTTCCATTCATGCCACACTAAGAACTAAGCAAGAGGCTATTAAAGAAAAAAAATGTCGGGGCGCCTGGGTGGCTCAGTCAGTTAAGCGTCTGCCTTCAGCTCAGGTCATGATCTCAGGGTCCTGGGATCGAGCCCCACATCAGGCTCTCTGCTCAGCAGGGAGTCTGCTTCTCCCTCTCCCTGTGCTCTTCCCCTCAACTCGCGCTTTCTGAAATAAATAAATAAATTTAAAAAAAAAGGTCAAATCAGTTAGCTATATCTTGAGTTAAACAGTCACTTATGTATGTGTGTATGTTTGTATGTGTCGGACTTCTGAGAACATGTAGTAAATGATTGTGAACAATGTCCCTCAGAGAATTGAATGCAAGTATGTAGCTTTTCTCAAATTTATATTATCATGAAATATTTTTAAAAGAAGTATCTCCAGGGAACTCTAACCTTTGAGAAACATACATAAGCACCAGCATTTTTCAGAAAGGAGAACAAGCATCCCTGGTTACAGAGAAATATGACAAAATCAGTTTATAGTTTCTCAACTTCCCCATATCAGCTCTCTAAAACACATCTGCCCGATGATGATGCCTAAGAGAAAATTTTAATGCCAGTTTCTCTTTCCCTATCTCCCATTTGACAATCTCCTCCACTTTCCAAAACAATGATATGCCTTTCAGCACACCAGAAATTTGGGGGCACTGCCCCAAAGAAACATCTTTGGTTACAAAAGAATAATTTAAAACACTGATTATCTGCAAAGCCTCTTGCAATCAGTGTACATAATCCCAGAGAGGCATTTCCAATAAAGTTTACTTTCAATTTTTAATAAAAATATTAACATGCTGATAAATAATTATGCTGTCCCAAGCAATGGTGCCTGCGTATTAACAGAAATTCAATTTTAAGAAAAATTTAAAAACTTAAAGATTTTTGGTTGAAGGACATTTTAAAAATTCAAATTATATATATACTTTTGGAGCAAAAAATGAGACAATTCTCCAAGGTACTGGAAGTAGAGTTGGATGCATAACTGACTGAGCCACACAGGCGCCCCTGGAAGAGTTTTGTTTCAAAATGTCAGTATTTACAATGCACTGCAAACTACCTCATTTGCAGCCATTTATAGCTCTGAAAAAAACATCAGATGCCATTTAAAAAAATGCTTCGAGGGAATATGGTTTTCAGAAATTCCTTCTTTGGTCAGTAAAACATTGCTCGTCCTACATCACAGTGTTGTTGGTGTTCTAAAGTGTTATGACAATAAAATTGTCAGCTAACCTATACCGAGTGCTTACTGTGTGTAAGGCAAGGTGTTTTACACACATTACTTCAACTAATCTTTCTCCCCAGCTGTACTGAGGAGTAACTGACAAATATAATTGTATATATTTAAAAGGCACGATGTGGTGATTTGATATATACATGCAATATGGAATGATTAATAAGATCAAAGTATTTGGCATATCCACCTTATATAGTTAACCCCTGTGTGCTTGTGGTGAGAACGCTTCAGATCTATTCTCAGCAACTTTCCAGAGTAATTAACTACACTCATCATGTTGGACATTAGATCCTTGGAACTTATTCTTATCACTCAACGTTTGTGCTCTTTAACCTCTATCTCCCCATTTCCCGCCTCCCTCCACCCCTGCAATCTACCATTATATTCTGTTTCTGTGACATCGGCATCTTCTTTACCTTTTTTTTTTTTTTTTTGATTTCACATGTAGTAACATCTAATCTTAACAATAACATTTTCAGGTATGTCCTATCATCATCTCTGCTTACACATGAGGAAACTGAGGCACAGGCTGGTTAATCTATTAAACTCAGGTTATCTAGCTATCAAAACGTGAAGCTGGAAACTCACACCATGACCCAGTGCACAGTATCACCTACTTAGATGTTTTTCCTACCTAAAATGTTCAAGTGTGAAAAGTTTTTCTTCAGCTAGGTTTGCAAGCCTTGGAAGGCAAGACCATACTGTACACCTCTCTAAGTTCCACAATACCAGGATATAGTTTTACACATAAAACATATTTAATAAAATCAAGTTCAGTAGTGGTTATCTCTGGGTATTGTGATTAATGCATAATTTAACTCTTGAAGACATACAATGTTTGTTGTCGTTAACATTTTCCTATTTGGATTTTCTATATCGGGCACGGATTATTTTGTAATAAGAGAAGAAAACGTATTTGTCATGAAGCCACCATTTAGAATCCACAGATACATAAAACAAGGGGAAAAGAGAGGGATGCAAACAAGCAAGAGACACCCACATCAACATGGGAGGCGAGTCAGAGGGTTTGGCCCGACCACTTGGGAGGGCTTGCTTCTCCTTACCTGGCGTCAGGAAACCACAGGGCCCTGGCAGCCCTGGGAGCCGGGCACACGTTCAGACAAGCCAAAAGCAAAATATTGTACTTGTTAGAGGCTGTGAGAGAAATTTCCAGAAATCGCGTACTCTTCATTTTGCCATACATTTTAAAGAAAACTTCGACATTTCCAATTAATCACTTCTGCAGTTTTTATTTGAAAAGCCCAGTTCTTTACTGGGGCTCCTCAGGGAACTGCTCGGTCCTGTGCAAGCAGTCATTAGTCATTAGCCATGATTTATTAGGGGCTTTTCAGCTGTACCTTTGAGGTCTAGCAGCCATGTTTTTCCTTTTAAATGAATACAGTGAACTTTTATTTACAGGAGGGCAAAGGGTTAAAAATCATACCTTGGCATGTAAATTTTTTGGAGGGAGTCGTGAGTAATAATTTATCTGCCATTTCTCCAGGACCGGCACAGCGAGCAATTCCGGGTTCTTTGTATTCCGACTTTACCCAGTCCGATAACCACTGCATGTTACAATCACAGTAAAGAGGGTTGGCTCCAATTGCCCTGGAAAACAACACCACAGAAGCACACACACACACAGTATGGATGTTTTGTTATTTCCTAAAGGAACATAACTCAAAGTGGCGCTCAGGAGAAAATCCCTACAGATGTATTGATAACAACTTAGAAGAAAATGGAGACATCGGGGATTCCCCATTTTCCTGATTTATGGGCAGCTGGGACTTAGGGGTTTGTCACTAGCCTTAAAAATTTTACCTGGGCTCCACAAGGTGTTCTTCTATTTGCAGAGACAGGTTTATATTGGGTACATGCATACCCGACATGCAGATTAATACTTCCCTCATTCGCTAATGATTTACTGACGACCCAATCACTATGCCAGGTTTTGGGGCCCCAAATTATAAATAATACATTATTTTCAACACCAAAGAACTGCTTCTGGGAAAGTGATTAACACATTCTCAAACATGCAAATAATTCGCATTAGTAAGTGCTACAGTAAAAGTATTTATGAGGTGACTGTGAACATAGGGGTAAATTTTCTGGGAGACTGGTGGTTAAAAACCTGAGCTTTTACATCGTTAGATTAAGGAGGTGGAAAAGGCTGGGAAGGATGTTTCAGGGTAAAGGACCAGTAAGTGTGAAGGGACCAAGATAAGAAAGGGCATGAAATAATAAAGACGCAGAGAGCTAGTTCACTAGAGTGGATCTGGACCTTCACTAGATGTCTGTCCCTTTACAAAGTCCTTCATTTTAGGACTTGGCTTCCCACTCCCATAAACAGTAGCAGTAATAGAAAAAGTAATCAAGATGATAGCTAACATTTATTACATCAAAATGCAGGTACTGTGCTGAACCACTTGATATGAATTACCTCATTTTACCCTAAATAACAACTCTAGGAGGTCAATAGTATTAATAATTCATTTTACAGATTGAGAAACTGAGGCCAGAGACGTCAACCTATGGGTTTTGTAAAGTTGCCAAGCTTGGTGCAAGTAGTAGATGCATAAGGTGGCATTTAAAAATGGATTAATTCTGATTTAATTATAAATATAATTAACTTGTGATTAGTAATGCTTCTAGGTCTGTAGTCCAAGCAAAATTAATCCTATTCTTTCATGAGGAAATCCCCAAATATACTTGTAAAACCATAATACTTTATATGGTAGCAGTTTTAATGCCCAACTCTAATCAAGAATTGGAGTGTAGTAAATGCTATGCTCAGATTCAAACTTTTCTTTGAAATTGAAAATGAGCAAAATGATGTTTTGGAGTCATTTAATGTCATCTCTACTGACATTTGGTAAGTCTTTCCTATGTGAAGGGACGCAGTGGAAAAAGTGAATGGAACAGAGCTCTTTATGATCTAGAGAATCAAAGACAAATGCATAAAAGAAACGCAGGACAGACAAGACACATGGCAAGGACAATCTGAACTGCTCCTACTGTTGGTTGGGGGTGCTCACGGAAGGAAAAGATCTGCTCAGCTCGGGCAGCGCCTTCCTTAAGCTGCCTTTTCGGATAAATCACCCAAACACTAACAGAATGACTACTTTCTTCTTAATGTTGCAAACTTTCCCGGACAGTGCCAAGTTCTGCACCCCTGAGCTGGAAGGCTTAATCACACTGTATCTCATGCAAATGACATCCATGGAATTTGTAGAGGGGTGGGGGGGGGCGATGTTGCCTTTGAGGTAGGTGCTGGGGTTCACACACAAAAAAGTGGAGGTTTTGCCTCCTGGGACCCTAGAGTTTAGTGAGAGAGATATTAACAGTAGGCACCAAAGAGTCTGATAGACAGATGTACAGAAAACCTACAGTGATTGCCAGAGCCCCATAAAGCATGTTTAGATATAGCATGATTGACTCCTGGCTCCTATCCTCTGCCCATCCCCTTTCTCAGTTTTCTAAGCGTATCTTCTTGGGATTTGGTGGGTTTTGGAGGGGAGGAGAAAGCCAAGAGAGAATACGGCAGGCAATTTCTGGGGAACTGGTAGGCAACTGATGGCACCTGCTATTTAATCTGAAGCATAATTGCCACCAGGGGGCACCAAACCGGCCCTGAGCTAAGAAAGTCTTAGATCTTAAATCTCTGTTCCTGGATCTTCCTTATAGGTTTGCTACGGTCTCCACACCACCCTTATAAACAATGGAATAACGGAATTTGACCCAAAAGAGTGTATGGCATATTTTTATGTTGTTTTGTTGGGCTTTCCAAAAGTAAGGAGATACAAACAGGCTGTTACGAGACAGAGCACAAAGAAAACAAACAAACAAAAAACATTTCACCCAGTATGAGGATTTGGCAGTTTCCCTGCTATCATACTATAAAGGCTTAAACCATCTCTAATTTATTTTTCCATGGTGCCATAGCCAGCACTGAATACTATTTGCTAAATAAATGGATCCAGTTTGAGCAAATCAAGATAGGCTTCATAAAGGACATGATATTTAGAATGTCACCTGGAAAGTACAAGGTTTGTGCAGACTGAATGGAAAGGGAACTGATATTCTGGAATCAGAGAACGTTAAGAGAAAAGGCATAGCAAGGAAGCTGGAGAGCCATGTTTGTAAGAAGACAATTTTAGCTAAGCAAAGAGAATTCAACTCCTTTAGATAATAGTAAGGGCCAAACGGATAAATGAAGGCTATCTTGCTGAAAGCCCTGTATGTAGGTTGAAAATCTTCACATTTTCTTTAAAGATGGAGCCAACCACATCTCATGTTGTGACAACAGAAGAGATGGCAGAGGACCGTGTGTGAGTTTGACCCTAAACCCACATTCACGAACTAGGTACTCACAGGTGTGATAACGCAGAAAGATCATTGAAAGCACCTTCAGGCACAACAGAAATGTCATTTCCATGTAATGAACTAAAAGCAAAAAAAAAAAAATGTTAAATTTCTTACATGTCAGAGAGTTCAGAAAAATTCTCACACGTATGTGAGACTTTAGTTTACAATAAGCATTTTAAGTCAGTACAGAAAATATGATCTATTTAATACACAGTCTTGATGTAACTGGGTATCTATTTGGGAAAATAAAAAGTTCCTATTTCACATCATATGCATAAAGTCAATTCTAGATTGAAGAGCTAAATGTGAAAACAAAACTAAAAATATATGAAAAGAAAATAGGGAAGAGCTCCTTTTTATAAACATAGGATGGGAAAGGCTTTCTTTTTTTTTAAGATTTTATTTATTTATTTGAGGGAGAGAGAGAGATCAGGAGCAGGGGGAGGAGGCAGAGGGAGAAGCAGATTCCCCACTGAGCAGGGAGCCTGATGTGGGACTTGACCCCAGGACCCTGGGATCATGACCTGAGCCAAAGGCAGATGCTTAACCGAATGAGCCACCCAGCCATCCTGGGAAAGGCTTTCAAAGCACCATATAAAAGTCAGAAACCATAAAGGAAAAGAGTAACACATTTTTGACAACACAAAATATATCCATAATATGAAAGATAACATATAAGGAACAGAATGGAAAATACTGACAACATATATAAGATACAAGGATTAATTCACTTGTTAAAAAGACCTGCAAAGTAGTAGATGCATAAAGAAATGTATGTTAATAAGGAAAAGACAAGGTACCCAATAGAAAATCAGAAATGATACGATCAGGCCCATGGAATAAGAAACAAGTAATCAATAAAAAAATAAAATATACACAAATGCTCTAGTTATTAGAATTTTAAATTAAAATAGGAATGGAAAATAATGTTCAATCTGTCATAGAACTATTAATATTATTCCATATTTGCCAGAGTGCTTTGAAATAGGTACTCCATTAAAATAGGTACTCAATCTGTCATAGAACAAAAATGAAAGAATTAATACCCTTCAATATTTTCCAGAGTGCTTTGTAACAGTACTCTATTAAAAGAGAGTTGGTGGAAAATAAGTTTGTAAACTGACAAACTTCTTGTTTTGGAGGGAAAACCTGACAGTTACTTTTGGTATCCTCACAACACACTTGACAGTAAGATGAATGTGTAGGATGTTCATTCCAGCACAGTATCGAATAATGAAAATCTGGACTCAAACCCCATGACAGTTGGGGCACCTGGGCGGCTCAGTCGGTTAAGCGTCTCACTCTTGATTTCAGCTCAGGTCATGATTTCAGGATTGTGAGATTGAGTCCGTGTCGGGCTCTGTGCTGGGCATTCATCCTGCTTAAGATTCAGTCTCTCCCTCTGCCCTCCCCTCCCCTAAAAAACAACAAAAAACTCCCCCAAAACCCAAAAACCACCACGAGAGTTAAAGATGGGGATGATTAAGTAAGCTATGGTTCCTTCATCCTATGGAATATTCTTGTACAAGTTAAACAGCTAAGGAATATTTTTATATGATGGAATGGAAATACTGTAAAGCATATCGTTAAATAAAAGCCAATGACAGAACAAGAACAAATCCTATTTATGCTTGTTTAGAAAGTGTAGAGCCGTGGGCATACGTGTATCAGCATCTAAAAACAAATGCATATAAAAAGAGACAGAAGACAACATAAAACTGTTTATTAATTCTGGGGGAGGGGATTGTGATTGGGGATCATGTCTCACTTCATATGTTTGAAATACATTTTAGGTGCGTCTGGGTGGCTCAGTTGTTAAGCATCTTCTTTCGGCTCAGGTCATGGTCCCAGGGTCCTGGGATTGAGCCCCACATCGGGCTCCCTGCTCAGTGGGAAGCCTGCTTCTCCCTCTCCCACTCCCCCCTGCTTGTGTTCCCTGTCAAATAAATAAAATCTTTAAAATAAAATAAAATACACTTTAACAATAAAAATGTACTCATTGATTATGTAATTTTTAAAGAAATTAAAATTTCTTGTATTTTGTTCAAAATGAGTTGGATCTGTATATTATTATTATCTATTACCAAATCAATGACTACAGCAACAATGTGGTGTCGTCCAAATAAAGGCTGTAGAGTAGTGATACAGGAAAAGATGTAATTTTCCTATTTCCAAATTTGTAGTAAATCCTAATATATATGTCTGAAAATGCCCAAGAATCAAAAAAGCAGTTAAATCGGTAAAAAACACAAGCCAAAACTCAGATCCCTGAGATAAGAGATATTTTGTTGACCATAAGATGCTTACAGTAATCGGAGAGACTTCAAGCCATCGAAGGTTCGAGGAGGAATACATCTCAAACGGTTGTAACTAAGAATTCTGAAAGCATACATAGCAGATTTGTTTTACTCAGATACCCCCAAATGGCCAAATGTCATTTTAAAAATAAAAAGGCTAAAAAAAAAGGTTGTTTCAGCATTTAATAAACTGGGAATATTGATGAACAGTATTTTGTGACTGTTTGTGTTTTCAGTAATACAGCATATTTCTTTCTAAATACAGTCTAGAATGCTTCCTGCCCCGGCCGATGCTAATGCCTCAACTATTCCCTCCCTCAGCTGACAGACTTCTTAAGGATCTCTCCCAACCCCACCACAAACGTAAATTAGTCTTTGTTTCTTTTCTGGAACCCAACAGGTTTTTATAGTATCTGTAGTTGTTTGTTAATTGAGGTTGTTCTTGTCTCTTTCTCCCAACAATATTTATATTTATTGAGGGCAGGCTCTATCTGTCTTGTTAACAGAGAATGTCCAAGTGCCTGGAAAATGCATTTTGTCCAGTGAATTAATAAATATTCAGGACCAGATTTTCATACTCACAAGGTGAGGAGCTGGGTCATGTTGCTGAAGCTTTGATTAGAAAGGGTGCTTATTCGGTTGTTACTTAAGTCTCTACAAGAGAAAAGAGAAACAAATGGGGTGAACTGTTACCAGAGAAGGTGAAATATTAGTGATTCTTCCAAAGAGAAGGCTCTTCTTGCTTGATCACAGGGGCACTGCCAGCACTCAGCTTTTACCTGAAAATAACCAAACACTGGATAACCCCTGGGATGGACTGTAATAGTCATAATTATTCACGCCTCGCCTGCTAAAAGTAGAAGTGATGATGTTTTGCTTTGGCCAGTGAAGGAAGTACGGCCACCTCAGAACTGAAGGTTAGAACAAGCTCACGCTTCCCGTATTGCCCTCTGCTTGCTCTTCTGCAAGACTTGTGATGTTCCACAGCCAGGGCCTGCGTCCTGGTCCCAGAGCAAAGACATGGGGAGGCCCCTCACAATGGACACAGTTTATGTGTGAGAGATACACCTTTGTTCTTGAACGTTCCATTGGTTTCATATCCTTTAGCTTCCCTGGTACACACAGGCAAATTTGATAACTAAAAGCATTTATTTGATTACATTTGCAATGCCATAATGAAAAATTTTGCCCTTGGCAAAGTCACTGGCACACAACACACAGGTCCTCAATAAATATCGGCTTAATTAATAAGTAAATAAGAGAGATGTGGGTTTTTTAACCAATGCTACATGGCTATTTATAGCCAAGTATAACTGGTACTACAGGCTGTGATTTATATTCAGTGAACTTGATCTTCTTTTTATTATATATAATATATCTGTGACTATATATGACATGACACATGTCATACATATTGTGACTATAATTATATTGCAATATAATGCAATATAATAATATATAATATATAATGGCATATTATGTATCTTTGGCAATTTTGCAATAGGATGAAATGAGTGAGTATATAATACACAGTCATAGAGTGATATGTATATATTCACTGATTTTTCTCTACTGCAGAATGCTAAATACATAAATAAAAGGATGATTTATGAATAAATGAAAAATTCTAGGTCATGGTTATGATCACTGTATGTGTGTATATTCACTACTTTTTCCTAAAGCAAAATATATAAATAAATGTAAAATGCAAAAGAACCTAAGATTATCCATTCCTTTATTAAAATGACCAAAATATTAGTAAAATGAACCTATACAACTTGAGAAATGATAGGAATGCTATAGGAGCTTCATGATCCATCTTCTCGGCTGCTGAAGTACTATCCCTAAATTCAGAAAGTAAATAAGTGTGTCTATTATTAGCAGCAGTTATTTGCCTAGAGTAGCATAATGAGTCATTGGTATAAAGCCATTTCTGGATCTACAAATGCTCATTTTTCATTTCCAAACTGGTCTTAAATAATTGCATAGTGTCCCACAAATGACCCAGTTCTGCTGAAGTGACCCTCCGGAAATTGCAGCAATTTAATGGTTTATTTAACAGAACAAAATGTATGTAATCAGTTCCTGCTGCTACTAAATAAGTAACGAATGAGAGGCAGGCAGAACAAGACATCTTAGGGGATATTCTCTCTTTCTTAATTTAATCATTTGTCATTTAAACAGTCCTACATACTTTCTACAAAGTGATTTTCTTGCATGTTTAAGGGAAACTGAAAAGGATTAACAGTGTTTTAACCAACCACAACCTTCCTAGGGCCAAGATTACATTGAAAAATGTAACATTTTCTGCGACTTACATTTCTAGAATTCACTAATTAGGGATCAACCTCCTTATTGTACGAACACTAGAAATTGGCCTCTTCAGCCAGCCATATTTACTCTAAAATAAGATAGGACTTAAACTAAAGTATTTCCCTTTATATTTACTCCTGTTGCTTATTTTTGTTTGTTTTTTGAGAAGCTTTATCAATTACCAGCAAGGCTACTCTAAGTATGACATTATATACAGTAAGATTATCTCTTTAAAAATATTGTGCATATAACTAGATCGAAATGTTGGTATATTTAAATATAATCTTGTATTATCACTTAAAAATCATTTACATTGATGAAAAAGAGAGATGTTATTTTACAAGGGCATCAAAGCCAAGTGAAAAGTCAGTGCTGAAATTTATGCTCAGAATGTCAGCATCTTTGTCAAGTTTACTTAAATACTGTGGAATTAAAAATGAATTTTATAAAATTAAATTCGAATACTGGAAGTCCATAACTTAACTTAGAGTGTATTATATAAGAAAATCAAACCTAATAAAATGTATTATGAGTAAAGTTATTATCATCCACAATCTTTTGCTTAAAGTCAAGAAGAATAAAGCCATTACTTTCTTTCTTTTCTTGGCTTGTCATAAAATAGCCCATGTTCATTATCAGTAGAAGTATCGAATTTACTGCATTTCTCTAGTTCTCTGATACTTAGCCTTTATCATATTTGTATTTTGAATCGAGGAGGTCCTTTCTCTAAGACACACCACACTGCCTGACTGATATTCAATGAAGATGCACCTAGTGATCCAGAACCGCAATGAGGAAGGAGGGAAGCATCTAACTGTAAATGATTTATATTATCTGAAAGGTTCACTAAATCTTCTGCCCCTTGCTACCCCCATTTTGGTGAACTAGAATAAGTCAAAGATGGAAAAAAATACAATACGTTACTTACATAAGTGTTAAATGTTTGTAGTTATAGAGCTCCTTAGGCACCAATGTAAATTGGTTCCCATCCAGATACCTAAAAACAAGGAAACAATATTATCTTTTTTTAAAGGAACAATGCTGTGGCATAAATTAGTTTCACTTTTAACTGAAGCAAGGAAGCACTCTGCAATTCTGGCTTTAAGACATCACGTTCGCTCTAGCTGGGATTGTTATTTAAAGGAAGTAAATGAAAAAAAAAGCGCAGTTGTCCAATCCAGTAGAATTATTTTATGGAATCACTTAGTGTAAATTATAAAACCAAGGAGAGACTGGTGAGCCCAATTCTTTGTGGTTTATGTAATGACGCGAACCACGTGTCCAACCATTTGTGCGTCAAGAAGAAGGTTCATTCAATCAACCATATTTTCCGTCAGCCTCCAGTCTGCTCTTATTTACGTGGGGACAATACCATGAAATGCATTCACTACTGACAGAACCTTGCTACTGAGGGCAAGACCACTCTTCACCACCTTAATAGGGATCCATACACTTAGTAAATAACAATCTGTGCTTTAAAGGAGATACTTAGGATTTCAAATTAGATTTCAGTTAAAAATAACCTAAAAATAGTTTTTAACCACTGTATATCTGCTTTGTGATAATAATTTTAGAAGGTTTTACAGAAAATCACAACCTTTATCAAAGGCACAAATACAACATATATATGTAAAAGTAATAATCAAATAACCACATATATGTGAAGTTTCCTTTTCTGATTAAAGTCAGCAGGATAATCTGAAAATAGATAGACACTGGGCTAACCAGCAAGGCATAAAAATGAATGAATGCTTTAGGTTCCGTCCATAATGTCACAAAAAGAAAAATAAACTCCATCTCAAACAAGGCTGTATTTTCCCAGAATATAGACGATGAAGGTTAAAATGTCTTTCAGCAACGTGGGCTGTCTGGCTGTAGACAGTGTCGTGGTCCATCTTGAGATCTAAGGTTGAGGTTATTTGTATTTTTGCTGGATACAGAAGTAGCTGAGAAATTGCCTCAGATAATAATCTAGTTCAAAATAAAAAGTTATCTAAAAGGCACAAGTTATCAAAATATGTACTAAATATGGGAATAAGAAGAGGGCATGTGTTATGACTTCTAATTTATGCCCGCTCAAATTTTCTGCCTTCGGATTTCTTCTTTTACTCCTTTCTTGCCTCCACCTACATACTTCTTGGTACCACTAGAGGGAAGCATAATCCCATAGACTTCAGTATTCTCCCTTTATTCTGGAAAATGTCATAACAGAAAGCTAAAAGGATTCAGAATGTGTGCTATGGATGTTTACATGTAAAACAATCTAAGAGGGAAATTATATGGAACTGATTAAAAATAAGAGATACCATTTGTTCAAAACTGTCCACTAATATGTCCTTAATTTGCCAAATTCTTTAGTAATTTAATATAATATGCAATGAAATTTTTCTAATACATGCATGTACCTGATTGTAGAGAAGGATCCTGCTGACTTGGTATAATTCTAAGAATAAGCTCTTGGGGAGGTAAAACTAGAATTCACAAGAGATGAGTTAATATTTTCCTCATCTCTGTAACGTATTTCTTTAGAAAAATACTACTTTTTAATACTTTGTAAAGAAACACATTGAAGATTCAACTGTCTGAAAGAAGAAACATATGGATGGCATAGACAGGATATGAATCAAGAAGGTTCTCAGATGTAGTTTAATAAGGAAATTAAAGAACATTTAAAATTATTTGATAGGCATCAGGGGGAGAAGCACTAAGGTAACAGGCCAGGTAAAAAGAAGGGATTCCGAGTCCAAGATAATCTGGTTATGCTGAGTGTTGTGTTCTTGGCCGGGGTGTTCCCAGAATCAATGCTGTGCATGCAGAATACTCTAAAGGCATCTAGCTGGATGGAGAGTAATCTTCTGAAATAAATACTTATTAAAATAAGAATTAAGTAATTACACACACACAAAGTAGTGCTTATAGTCAATTAACAACTGTGACTGGCAGCATGAGAGAGAAACTTAACACTTCATAGCAGTTCACATCTAAGAGGGACCTTCTGTGTATGTGTGCTAAGATCACACCTTCTTTTCCCCTAAGTGTTTAATTCAGGACCAAATTAGGGTTCATAGAACTGCACATGATTTGCAAATAAGTTCTCTGATGACTGAAGGGACATCTTCTTGAAACTCACTACCTATGTTCCACGTTGCCAAAAGTTTATCAAAGCTGCTCATTTAGAATGCTTGCACACATGGGCATGAATTACAGGGATACATCTGCACAAATTACATTGGAACTTAAATCATTTTTGATGTATAGTTCCACCCAGAAAAAAATAAACAGAGGCAAAATGACTCAACTGCACTCATACCAAGCATTTGTTCCTGGTACATTAGTATGCAGATTATGTAATGGAATGGAGCACGCATGCATCATATTATTCAAGCAGCTTGTTCTTGGATTTATTCCATTCCACATATATAACGCGAGGCAGCTAAGAAAGTGTTCATGGTGCTTGGTATCTAGATGAGTATACACTGACCAGGTCGTCTGTGGTCATATATCAGATATGAAAATGTTAGGGATAATTGGCTCCACACCCTTCATGATCTAAAGGATTCTAATTCAAGTCCAAAGGGCAGTACGTCTTTTTTAAGGATAAAGATTATGCCAGTTTCTTCTACATCCTAGATATTTATGTATCCCATGTGGGAAGCTATTCTCCCAGTGGACACAGTGGTAAAGAATAATTAACCATATGGAATATCCCAGACAATGTAGATAAACTAAATATACAGCATTTCCCAAGGTGTATTTGATGGAACATGAGTCTTGCAAGATGGTCCATGAGAAAAGAACTATGGGGACAAACAAGTATGGGAGCTATCTTATATTTTACCACCCTCTCCTGGAGCTTCATAGTGCACCTTAGCATAATATAGACACTGAGAAATCCTACAATGAATAAGAGAGAAACACACACACAACCAGCATTTCCCAAGTGTATCTAAACTGGCTTTTATATTATCTGTTTAGGGTTTTACATGATACTATTTAATGGCCTGTAGAATAGAATTTGGAAATAGGACTCTGAAGATTTTTGTTTGGTTTCCATTTTCCCTGTTGAAATATTAATTGTTAAGGAAACAGAAAGGCAAGCTCTACTTACAATTCAGTGACGTCTCTGGGAATACCTTTGGGCAAGACCTTCAAGGCCTTGTTGCTGCATCGGACCACTGTATCCAAGCATGTGCATTCCGTGGGGCAGCGAGAGAGTGGAGAACAGCTACTCTCATCATTGCCTGATTTGCCAAAAGAAATACAGGAAAACCCAGATGTGTGGCTTTGAAAATGCAAGAAGGGATGTTATGCTTTTAGCTTAACAAACAAAAGAGTCTTGAGCCACGAGCTCACTTCAGTACACACAGCACATGGAATGTTTACAAATTGATGCCATCCATTGGATACAGCACCGCTTTCAGACTGCCTAGGGCCGAATTCCAGAAAATAACTCACTATTTATATCATCCCTCCAATCATAACAGTAATTTTCTTTGTTCGGTTATTTATACAAATTACACTTATAATAAGAGTATGTAAATTTACACTGAATTATGGAGAAATTATAAGGACACAGACATGAAGCGACATAAAGGGGGTAGATTAAAGTGTTTAGCAGATAATGTACAGGCCCCCCATTTTAAAATATAAGGCTCAAAGGGGCTCTCCATTCCCTGGCAGTAATAACAAAACCTGCTACCTTACAAGACTATTACGAGAATCAAATATGGTGATACATACAGAGCATTAAAAAGTGAAAACTGTTATTTTCGTTAGGTTTCTTAGAATTTCTATTTTCTTAAGTCAATTGCTTTTCTCCTTTGAAAATGGCAGTTACTAAAAGAGAGGCATAGAATAATAAAGTTAAAATGAAACTACATAAATAGTACCAACCACAAGTTGGAAACTGGAAAATTTAAATAAAACATTCAGAAACACAAATCAAAGGGACGTGGTTGTGAAAGCAAATCCGAGGAAGTATGTGCCCTGTTTCTAAAACAAAACAAAACAAAACAAAACAAAGCAAAAGCAAAAAATGCACAAAACTATCTGTTGCCTGAACTAGGACACACTGTTCTAGTTGGGCCCCACAGCATCAGATGGGTCACATGAACGCCTGGTGCCAGAAGATTTAGCAAGGCTTTCTTACCATCATCACAGGTGAAGTCTTGAATGGCGACATCCTGGATGGGGATTTCTTTGAGGAAGTATGGTTTCTGACAGCGAGGATTTCCGGTTACAATTCTTTTCTTCCTTAGCCATTCACCCAGCCAAGCCAGGTAGCAGTTGCAGTTAAAAGGATTGGCCAACAGGTTTCTAAGAGCCGCATGCAAACAAGGCAGGGAGGAGTTTAGGGTTTCACTTTGTTCCTTCTCAAAACCCCATGCTACCATTTTCCCCCACACTTTTTCTGCTGGAATGATTCCTTCTTATTCTTTGTATTCCCCGTGCCCCTCCCCATCTCTTTCCCCCATTCATAATCATACACAACGAACAGAATGCATTTTTTTTTGGCTAAAATATGTACGTTTGGAACTTAAAAAAATAACAACACTTTTACATAAGAATTCTTCAAATAATTTCATGTGGAAAATAAAGCAAAGGCAGCAATTTTGGGGTTTACGCAGTGGATCCTGATAGAGATCTCATTTAGAGATAATTTAAACTCATCAGCGATCTGACTTGCTGTCAAACTTCCCTCCACTGATAATGCAGTAATTTAATATAAAGATGAAGGCTGATTACCTTATATTATTGAGTTTAACCTGACAACAGCTATTTCATTAATTTGTCATTTCAAGATTTCCATCTCTTATTTGCTCCAGAGAATAGGTTTCCCATCTAAACTGACAGCTGAGTTGATTAAATGCCAGTTATAAAAATGAATTTACTTCTACAAATCTCAATACTTTTGGCATCTCACCACTTCAGCACAAACCTATTGACAACCTTATTATTTATAAACATGCTATCTTTAATATGCACAAATTAGTCACTCGATGTAAAGTGTCATTTTATGTGGAAAGAGGATTAAGTACTTTACTGATGGATGGATGCTTCCCTCAAATTATTTCTTCAGTGACTTGAGTTATGTTGGACATTTTTTTTTCTTTCTAACTACCTTTTGAGTTAGATTAGTATATTTAGATGCCATCATTACTAGGAAATCAAATCCATTATAAGATTTATCATCTCAAACATTGCTTTTTAGATACTGACATATAAGAGAACTGAAATACATTATTTAGAGGGCTTTAAAGAAAAACACCTTCTGAGTGTCTATAGACTAACAAATATTCTTTATTTTCTAACTGTCTACATAAAATATCCTCTTGGACAGGCTCAACCTATTTCTTCAATATTTTCCTAATATCATACTAAATGCCCTCTAGTGAACAGTTTTTATTGTTGGTCTGGTCATCCTAATGTAGCTCCTGTCACGGCGAATGATCCTTCTGAGCATAGTTTGTTGGCAATATCCCTATCAAGCTCTGTTTTTATGATACTTGGGCTGAAAAGACTCCAATGTGAGAACAGCAGAGAAAATCTACAGCATTTCTGTGATGTGCAGTGCCATCAAGTTATAATAAAATGAAAATTTATAAATGAAGCCACATCACATTATTATGAAAGAGTCAATGGAAAAATAGTTAAATTTTTGCTAAATTTTAATATAAGATAGTAGGTAATATTTTTAGAAAAATTAAAATAAGCTTAACATGGACACATTTTGTCGATCCATAAACACTTGATCACATTTTTGTGAAATGCCTAATAATGCATTAAAATGCTATTAATAAAAGTAAGAAATATAATACACTGGGTCAGTCATGCATAAATGAACACTATCCTTCATACTTACAGAGTAGATAAAGAATGGAGAGTATCAAATGCCCCTGGTGCGATGGTAGTAATTTGATTATCATATAAAGAAAGCAAACGCACAGAACTCAGTCCTATGAAACTATCATTGCCAACACAGCTTATACGATTACTTCTCAACATCCTGAGGGAAAAGAGAACATGGTTATGGAGAGAAAGCATCAAGCAATCCGCTTTGCCTATCCGAGGACCCAAATAACCCCTCTTTGCAAATGTGCAACATTCGTTAACTGGTTTCCGAATGATCTCTTGTCATTAGGAATCACTGCGGATGTACACCAACAATTGCGCAAGAATAAAATGCGTAGCTTACAATGATCACACTGAGCTACAGAAGAGACCACTGAGCCTCGCGTGGACTCCCGGCCCCATCTCCCCTCTGCTGAGGGTAGAATGTTCTTTCCTCTGATGCTGTAACTGTGTTTGCCTGATTACATAATGTCCCAATTCACCTACAGCTCTCTGAAGCCCTGTGATCTGTGTATCCACGGTAGCATTACATCGGAGGTTTAACAGAGAGGAAGCAGAGAAGAATCAATAGTCACAGCAGATGGAGAACTGAGGGCACCTCAAGGACTCACAGGCCAAGTTAATGTCAGCACGGGCTGGGGAACCCAAATGAGATGGAGCACCCACAAACCTTGCACAAATTATTTATGAAAATTATTGTTTTAAAGTTTGGAACTTAAAAAGAGGCAATCATTAACAGATGCCAGTTGTTCACAGTGAAGTTTAAATAGGCTTCCCTTGAAAGAATTCTGACCTTTTTTAAACATTTTTTAGTCATTGCCATTAAGAGGATTATTTCCTCGTCACTGCTGAAGTTTTGGCTCCATTCTTAATTCTCGTTGAACTGTTTACTTGTGGGACTTAGAAAAGGAATGAAAAATTCCTTAAAAGCCCCCACGTAAAAATGAATAGTTGCCATGAATCTTATTGAGAAATAAGGCTGAAAAGTTATTTCCCTTAATTTTTCTAGACATGTGTAGACCACCCTACCCTTCTAGAAGATTGCAGTATATAAAACAGAGAGGCAAAAAGAAATGAATAACAGAGTGTTCCTTTAAAATTCTAGAGTTTTATCTTATCTATAGAAATAACTAAGAAATATCAATTTTGGCGATCTGCTAAGTCACAGATAGAAAGAATGATGCTGTCCTTATCAAGGCATCATTTTATGTTCGGAAGCAAATCCACAACAGAAAGGTATTTCTAGCAGCACTATCATTTGCTGTTAAGTAACGAAGAATACTTGGTCTTAATCTTGGTGAAGTCACGGACCCCTGGGAGAAGCTGAAGAAAGCTTTGCTTTCTGTTGCTAGAAAAATCCAGAAGCACACACAGGTACTACATTTTGCCTGCAATGTCAAATACTCAGCCTCACTGAAATCTGTGCACGTACTACTAAGAGGTTTACTAGTCCTACAGCGTAATACATATGTCCAGACAAACCTACTTTTGTCCTTTGAATACTCTGAGCTTGGCTCTAAAATGCTCTATTATTCTCGTGTAGCAGAGTGGCTGAAGGAGACAGCCAGGGGCATCTGTCTTAGGTGCCAAATATGAGGCACAAAAACTTCGCTAGAAATATAATGAAGGAGGACTTGTCTCAGGGAGAGTCCTGGGAATGGAACTAGTCAGAAAAAAACACTTTAATGAGCTGCCTAGGATGGTGTTATGAACTTGACTCTCTGCTCTAAAATTCATACGTTGAAACCCTAACCCCCAAGTGACTATACTTGGAGAGAGGCCCTTGAGGGAGGTAATTAAGGTTAAATGAGGTCCCAAGGGTGGGACCCTATTCTGTTAGGACTCACGTCCTTATAAGAAGAGGAAGGCACACCGAGAGCTCGCTCTCTCTGCACACATGGGAAGGCCATATAAGAACAGAGTGAGAAGGCACCATCTACAAGCCAAGAGGAGATCTTGCCAGAAACCAGCCCTCTCAGTACTTTGATCTTGGATTTCTGGCCTCCAGAACCGTGAGAAAACAAATTTCTGTTGTTGAATCATCAGTCTGTGGTATCTTGTTATGGCAGCCCAAGGCAGACTAACGGTAGGTGGGATACTCCTTCCACCTCCTTCCCCACCTCTCCCCATCCCTCATGCAGCCCCTTCCAAAGAGAAGGTTCCCGTAACAAGTAGTCCCCCAACTAGTATCCAACAAAGGAGGCTTCTGCTTGCTGGATTCCTGTTTTGCTGAGTTGCCGGAGGCAGCCCGGTGGTGGGGGGAGGAGAGTGGGAGTAGATGGATCCACCTGGGGTACATTTTCTCTGCTCTCCCCTCTCCTCTCCTCAGTATCTCCTCCATAAAAAGACTAAAGGAATATTTGCATAACATTTTGAAGGGGCTCAAGTTAGTCTGTGGAAGGGTTGCAGGCTGGTCCTGCTGGAAGTTAAATGCCACACTCTCCCTGTGAAGCTCAAGGAGCACACATCTACGTTCACGGGCAGAGATTTTTCAGGAGGATTTGAATTTAGGAAGCTATGAACGCATCCACACTGGCTGGGGAAATGGTCTTCTCCTTCTGCATCTGATATTGAGCAGGCAGGGGTCTTCTCGGCTATCATTCACCCTGATTGTGGCTCTGAGGGGGCGGGGTGATGGTTTAGAGACATGGTGGAGCTTGGACCTCTCTCCACTGCAATCACCATCAGCAGCTTCTTGGTTACAAGTAGTTTCCTTCACATTTCCAAAGGCTTCCAAGTTTTGGGTTGTGTCTCTTCCAGTTTTTAGGTTGCCACTTTTGTCAAACATAATATATACTTTAGAGATCATAAAAACTAAATATATGCACTGTAGAAAATTCAAGTAACAAAGTGTTGTTTTTGCTATTCAATCCAATCCCTGTCCTCTTTGGCCAACAACTTTTTTGGAAACATATAGAATTTCTTTTTCCTAACTTCCCTACCCCTGAGCAAGTAGACATACCTCTTAGCATGTTTCTTTGAAATAGACAGTACAAGATCTACCATGAGTCAGTCTCTCTTTTTCACTAAGACTTCACAGGAGTGAAAGAAGGTGGTTTCCAGATAAACTGTTAGTTATTCTGCCACAGGGTTTGGATTGGATTCTGAAGCTCAAGCCCGGGGGCCAAAAGTGAATGTTAGATGGAGGCTGAGGAAAATGCAAGAGGTTGAACATTCTGAGGCAGAATGGGGTGGGGGGGGTGGGGGGGGAGAGATCCGTACCAGCATTGGAAGAAGGGCAACCTTTTTTTGTTGAGGAATCGGCAGCAGCCAGGAGACATTTTTGATCTTTGTAAAGCAACACACCGAAGTCAGGGGTGTTCGAGTCAGGGAATGTTTGCATGCACAAAATGTGTGTGTGTGCGTGTGTTTTGTGTTTGTGTGTTTGTGAGAGACAGAGACAGAGATGGGAGGGTGAGAAGTCCGCACTATTCCCCAGCCCGGAATTATAATGACCAGCGAACTACAATACTGTAAGAGTCACTATGCAGATCAGAATACTTACAAAGTTTTCAGGCTTTCTAATCCCTTGAACATCTTATGCTGAACATTTTCCAAGCGATTACTCGTGAGAAGTATTTCATTGACACCAGAAGCTCCTTCAAATGCTCCTTCTTCAATGTCTGTAATCTTATTGTTGCTAAAGTTTCTAAATAAAAAAAATTGTTGAAACAAGATTTTAAGCTATTTCTAACAACGAGGGCACTGAGACAACATGTTTGATCCTTTTCTTCTAGGGAACAAGGTCTTTCATAATTTCCAAGCTCTTCACTGCCCAACACACCCGAGGCTCTGAAAAGACACCACTTTCTATTCTTTTATCAAGTCAAACTGATGATAGTACTGAGGGAGAAGGTGAAAAATACCAGCCCAATCCATGTCAAAATGATCTACAAGAGTGCCCAAGAATATAAAGTTCTTGAGGTCTGGTATTGAGTTTTATAAACCTTAATGTTCAGCACAAAACTTGACAAGGAACTTTTAAAATAAGTGCCCCTGATAAAAATTATTGAATGAATTAATGACTAAAAGAAGGCAGTTGTGTAGAAAGAAGAAGGATGGGTTAAGCGTGTGAGCATTTAGATCACATTAGAAATGTATCTGAATATGGGTTTGTTCCCAGTTAAACCTCTCATTGTAAGCATGTATCAAAACATCCAACTTAACTGTCCATATTTTTATGATACAAAACAGGACAATGCTTGGCCAAAGGGCAAAAATATGAATAGGAAGGTGAGGTAACACCTTCCTATAGGCTCTATTTTTTCTCTTTCTCATTGTTCACTCCAAGACCAGGAATGCCCCCAGAACAGGGGTCATTTTTATGGATCATTTTATTCCTCTCAGAGCATTGCATGCAATAGTTGCTCCATAAATATGTGTTGAATCTAAAGGCATGAATAAAACAAAAGGGCAATCAATGTCACTGAAAATGAGAACAATCAAACAATAAGAAACTCTTTGGGAGGCAGTATAATATGGGGGTCAAGTGCACAGGACGTAGTCTGCTCTGCCACGGATAGTCAATGTGACCCTGGGCCATTCACACGTAGAAAAGCACAGATATTACAAAGCAACACTCCTTTTCTCCTTTTGATGTTTCCTCTTGTATGAAGGTTGTTCCATTGGCCTGACATGCTTGATCTCTGTTCTGTCCCTCCCTCCCTCCTCCTCAGGGGAGAATACTGCCTGACTGCTGTTGGAACTGCTGAGTTTATAAACTTATTTTAAAATATGAGTTGTGGATATGTAGTAACACAGATGAGCTATCAAGCCAGTTTACCAATCATTAATTTTGACTATCTTCTAATGAAAGTTTAATGAAGCAAAAAGTCAAATAGTTGACATGAATGTGCTGAAAGAGATATAACAGCATGGTTTAGGGAATAGTAAAGGAAGTTACAAAACACTACTGAACCCATTTCTAATGAGCTTAGATTGCCGAATTCCTGCTGTGGCCACATAACAAACCAGCTGTCTGAATTAAAGTAAGATGCGAGGGCTTTGCTACAGAAAATGTGGTTGACATCCTTGAATACATAGAAAAGAGGTGATTACTCAGGTTCTTCTCAGAAATTACCCTAAATTCATGTGACAGGTAGTCATTGTAGTCAATTTCTCCACATCTTTTATAGTTGCCAATTTCCAAAGAAATCTGAATAAAATTGCACAGGGATTTGAAAAACACAACAGAACACCACAGAAATTTTAAAGGGTGGCTAATGCACAGCTTACATTTTACGTAACTGCGGAAGTTTCTTGAAGATTCCTGTAGCTTCCAACACTGTGAATTCATTATTATTGAGACGCCTCAGAGAAAAAAGAAACAAAAGTTTTATCACCAACAGCCAGGAAGGGATTTTTATTTCTCGTACAGAAATGTAAGATCATTTCGTGATTATTCTAAAGTAAAACAGAATACATGTCACAGAAAATCTGTGGAAGCACTAATTTTTTCACCATTTCACTCAATTTTTATGCTCAAAATAAAATATTAAGAGGTATACAGGAAAGAAAACCAATAATCAAAAATCAAAACCAGCTCTCATTCAGTAATCTGTAGAACAAAGTTTCTCAAATCTTTTTTCCACTATTGTCCCTCCTCCAAAAGTATTTTTACCCCAGAAAGTATTTTAGACCATTTTTTCTGAATCCCTTGTTCTATATATTTTTTACTAATAGCTTTTAGGATATGCAATTTATATGCCATAAAATTCAACCTTTTACAGTGTAAATCTTGTGTTTTTTAGTGTATTCACAAAATTGTGCAACTATGCTTGCTACCTAATTTTAGAACATAGAACATCACCCAAAAGAAAAATCTCATACCCATCAGAAATCACTTTCAATTTGTTTCCCTCCCTGCCTCAATCCTTGGCCACCACTAATCTACTTTCTGTCTCTATGAAACTTTCTATTCCAGACATTTCATATAAGTGAAGTCATAAAAAAAATGTGGCTTTTTGTGCCTGGCTTTTTTCACTTTGCATAATGTTTACAGGACTCATCCATGTTTAGCATACATCAGTACCTCATTCCTTTTTATGGCTGAGTAATATTCCATAGTATGGATATACCAATTTTGTTCATTCATCTATCAGCTGATAGATATTTGGATTGCTTCCACTTTTTGATTTTCATGAATAATGCTGCTACCAACACTGGTGCAGAAGTTTTTGTGAGGATATATGTTTTCAATTCCTTTGAATAGTTACACTAGTGTAAAATTGCTGGGTTACATGGTAAAACTATATTTAATAATTTGAGGAATAGCCAAACTGTTTTCCAAAGATCTGCCATTTTTATATTCCCCTGGCAATGTATGAGGGGTCCAATATTTGTTTGTTTGTTTGTTTTTGTGGCTCTCATTGTGGTTTTGATTTAGGGTTCCCTAATGCTTAATGACACTAAGCATTTTTTAGCTTGATGATAATAAGCATTTGCTTATTGGTCATTTGTATATCTTCTTTGGAGAAGTGTGCATACAAAAATTTGAGCACTTTTTGATTGGGTAATGTACATTTTTATTGTTAAGTTGTAATAACTCTTTATATATTCTGGATATAAGTCCCCTACCAGATATATGATTTACAAATATTTCCCTCCCAGTACTAATTTTTAAATGTATAATTTACAAAATCCTTAATTTCTTAAAACACACACACACTTTCCTGAGTAATAAATTAGATGCTAGTGCTGTAATTCTTAATTGACAAGTAAGCCTATTTAAGCTGTTATTATCATGCTGGAAGAGATAAATTGCATTATTGTTTTTAATAATATTGGAAATATATAAAACTCCCTGCATTACCACAGCAATAGAGTTCAGGCCTTTTACTGCATGCATGGTCTCCACACATTTCAAAAAACCCTGGTTTTTAATCTCAGGAAACAAACTGAGGGTTGCTGGAGTGGTGGGGGTGGGAGGAATGGGGTGGCTGGGTGATGGACATTGGGGAGGGTCTGTGCTGTGGCGAGTGCTGTGAATGGTGCAAGACTGTTGAATCACAGATCTGTACCTCTGAAACAAATAATGCAATATATGTTAAGGAAAAAAAAGAAGAAGAAGATAGCAGGAGGGGAAGAATGAAGGGGGGGAAATTGGAGGGGGAGACGAACCATGAGAGACTATGGACTCCGGGGAAACAAACTGAGGGTTTCAGAGGGGAGGGGGCGAGGGGATGGGTTAGCCTGGTGACGGGTATTAAGGAGGGCATGTATTTCAATGAGCACTGGGTGTTATACACAAGCAATGAATCATGGAACACTACATCAAAAACTAATGATGAAATGTATGGTGACTAACATAACATAATAAAAAAAATTCCTCAAAAAAACCAAAAACAAAACAAAAACCCTGGACTTTGAAATAGATTCAAAAACTAACAGGAATAATAATAATAATTTTAAAAATGTATCACTATAGCCACAGGGTAGTTTCTGTCATCTCTTTGAAAGCATTACATTATTTTTAATTATTCAAATTGCTCAGGATTCATTAAGTAACAGGCACGAGTGTAGGCACAGTGGGAGATAAACTATGAAACACAATCCCTGTCATCAAGGAGTTACAAGCTAGTTGAAGACAAAAGGATTATGCAAGCATAAAAGGACAACCAACTTTGCAAAGCAGTTAATGGCAAATACCAGATGGTGCTATACATAAACGTTGCTAAGATGTTCAGAAAACAATGAGATTTCACCAAGTTTTTCTTGAATTTTTAGAAAACTAGTATGACTTTTATAAATAAAATCACTAAAGGCAAACCATACTTGGCATAGAGTCTGTAGATGATTCAACAAACATTTTAGCACCTAGTATGTGCTAGGCTCGAGGTAGGGTTATAAATATCAATCTGATCTCATTGTCCTTTCAGCTTTTCCTGCTACGCTCTCCATTATTCAGGGAAAAAGTATCCTCTGTGCTTTAAATACCTGATAATCACAGAATCCTACCACCTTTGAGTCAGTGAGGTAATAAAGCCGATAAAGGCTCTCTGACTGAATTCATAATTAACAGAGATTCAAAATGGTGATTCACCACCTATTTTATGTGGTTGCTGCAAAAGACTATATACCTTAGAAATCTACTACATGTTTAGAAATGGGTGCGGGCATAAATAATACCCAAGAAATAAATATCAAAGGAATGCTCTTATTATTAGCATTATTAAGAACTGAATTTTTGAGACATAAATTAATTTCTGTAGTCATGTTTTGGACCAGCAAGATGAAGTAAGATAGCTTCTAATATATCCTTGTACAAAGAAGAGTTATGGCCATGTGTGTTAATTAAAATCAATGTAATTCTTAAAAATAAAAGGGAAAGACAAAAATTGCAATGCTCTGATGCTTTCATTCCCTCCCTCCCAACCCAGATTTTATTGGGAGATGAACTCACAGCTCTGCAGTGTACTGGGGAATGTGGTCTGGGATTTTGGTGAGTTTTTGATTGGAGCAATCTACTGTGGTTCCTTCACAGCGGCACTTTTCAGGGCAAGCCAAATCTGCAAAGCAGTCCCCACTTAATTTTGATCGATAATCTTCTGTACCTATTGAGGATTCAAGGCAAAAAAAAAAGATACTGAGTCTAAAGGTTAGAATAGTCATTAATTTGTAGGAAGAAAAATAGTAAGATAACTATAGATTATGCAGCAGGGAGACAACTTGGGGAATTTTTGGTCAATGGATGTCAGGAGAGGGTTAAAACAAGGGCTTGGAATTTGCTGGAAAAAAGAGTAACCAGATTCACAGGACAGGAAAACATTAATAGAGATGAGCTTTTCACAGCTGTACTTTCTGCTGATCCAGTTATGAGCCATTCTAGCCTAGTTGACAGCTAATCATACAATGGCTATTCATTGTTACGAAGTTTATTTTTTCTCTGAGTCAAGAATTTAAAATGTATCCAGTAAGAAACATATTCCTATATATCATTTTAAATTAGGGCTTTCAAGGCAAATAGATGTACTCAGGTTTTTAAATTTTCTATGGTCTTATATTATTCTCTCCCTCTCACATAATCTTCGGAAATGCCTAAAAAAGCCCTCTTTTTTCATTTTGATTTTATAAAAGGAGACAAGTAAATCCTGATTTAAGCCTCAGCAGCTTGTCATGCTGTAGAAAGCTGCGTGACGTTCCATGGTGCTTGACGGAACCATGTTTTACTCATACCTGGCAACCACATGGTTAGATCAAGCACAACAGAAAATCTCGCTACATAATCACTACACCATCCACTAGGCCAAGGGTAAGACCGAGAGGAAAGATGAAGGGAAGCAGGAGAAAAAGCTACAGACGCTCTGGAAACGTAATACTGTTTACATGACATGCATTCTTCCCGCAGAATGTTTATGACCATAGTAAGAGTATTACTACCGAAGATTTCCTGGAAACACAAAGAAGGGGCTACACTGAAAGGTGCCTCCACTGTTCCTCAGAACGGCAGAATGGAAACAACAGCTTTCGGGAACAACATCCAGGAAGAAGTTGAAGGTGAGCTACAAGGACAACAGAGAAGCTCAAAAGATCTGTGGTTGCTTCTTGAAAAAAAAAAAAAAAAAAAGGTGCAAAAGACCGAGACTGGAAGAAGGTACATCAGGATTGAAAAGGGAGGGCATTATGTTTCAGATCAGACACTTTTACTTACAGCCAAAATGGTGAATACCTGCAAAAGTAAAGATCACCAAGAAGGAAAGAAAGAGTAATCCCAATTAAGGTTAATCAACACATATACAAAACTAGCGAAGGTCTCTTCCTTCTTTCCTTACTATGGCAATTATAGGGGGGATGGCAGAGTATGACAGCCATCGTCATGCTTTGCAAATGTTTGTAGTACTTTTTTGAAGCACAGTGCTCTTACAGGAAAAGCAATGGCATACGAGATGCACAGCACAAATTAAGTTCTTGTCGATTCCTCTACATGATGAGCTCTCTGCAAGATAGATTTTCTGTTGAGTTATCACTATAATATCTAGAATGTCATATAGAATGGTGGTAGGCAAGTAAACATGCAAACGTAAGTGAAAAACTAATCATGGAGATCTTCAAAAACAAATACATCTGGATTAAGCCTTACTGTTGTGGCTTACGTGCTTTTTAATGGCCTTTCCAACTTATAAAATAATGTCACTTAGTGGAAATGAAATCAGAACCTCATACAATCGCAAAGCTGAATATAATCATTTCATTAGACTTGACAATTAATGCCAGGGCATTTACTGAGGAACTGTTGTCCTGTAGTTTAAGCTTTTGTTTTAAAAGTGAAATGAAGAACTACTGGAAACAAAGGGCTAAATGACAGGTACATCAGGCATCTTATATTTAAAATAGTCTGCATTCATTGTAATGACAATGATGTTTCTTTTATGAAGACTCTATAGGTAAGCTAAAATTTTAATATAATCTAGGAAGAAAAAGGAGAGAAGGCCCAAAGAACCCTTCTTAGTCCTGACTTCTATTGTTATTGCTTTAATGTAAATTGAATGATCAGAAATTACTGACAATTAAGCCACGATATCACATATACAGTGTGTTTCCAAAAAAACCTATTTTGACTGCTGTCAATAAATAGGCAAAACTCTATCAGAATTTATGAAAACAATCTGACGTTGGATCTTTAATTTGTGAATCAGAAATATTAATTTCTAAATTATTAATACAGTATATTTAAATGCAATTTATTGAATAATTTGGTAACAATTCTATTAACTGCCATAATTCGAAGATTTTAGTAATATTAGTGTTTTATCCTATAGGTGTTTGGTATTTAGAATATGGCTTTTTTTCTGGGTAAGTAATAGTTATCAGATGACTTTCTGCTTAACAATGAGGTAAAAATAATGAATTTTAAAGATTGCCTATGAAGGCCAATCAACTGTTCTATTCAACATGTTTTCTTATGCAGCCCGTGTAATATATAAATATTATTGATCACTCAAGCTCAAAATAAGTAATAAAACAAAATCTGTTATATGCATAAAATTATTCAAATTATAATTCAATAATGGCAAATAACACATATCTCCTTAAAATAGAGACCAAACCCAGAACTCTTCCTTAAAAAATCAGTAAGGTTTTTGCATACTAACACCATATAAGTATCTTCTTATTGGTAGCTGTTAAAATATATGATAGTCTAGAATACCCCAGGAGATGGTAAATGTAGCCAATCAATTACTAACACATATTTTTATATAATGGTCTAAAACAAACAAGAGGCATTTTACACAATGGGCAGGCAAGGAAAAAATAAGTAAACATGTTTCAAAGAGCTAGTTCCAGAATCATCAGCCTTGAGAGTGTTAAGATTGTAGTGGTATAACATTTCAATTACTTTTCTAAAAAACTTTTCATGCATCTGCTTAAATTATTCAAGGCATTTAGGGCCCAGGAACATCTGAGGCTTTCAGGATGTAGGTCAGTATTGTTTCTGTGGAGTTACACCATCACCCCAGGTCTGCAACAATGTTACAAATAATATATAATTCCATGTCAACAAGCAGTAAGTTGCTGTTTTTGTATAAAACGTGAAGCAACAGTAAAGCAAAATAAAGCAAAAAATAAGGGACACTTTCTTAGTATAAAGAATTATATTAAAAAAAGTAAATTTCATGGTCGACAAGAGAATTCTGTGTGTTTGTAACTGATTTCATGTAGAACTAGTTCTTTGACAACAGAAAGGTCTCTGTCTTTAAAACCAGCTCAATAAGCTATATTTTAAAAACAGGTTGAAAGATCAGATATACAACATAAGGAGAGAAAATGATTTAAGTAGAAAGCTATAGGTTCAAACATTTTAGCTACTGTGAGAAATTTTAGATAATGTGCCAAAGTGAGAGAGGAAAAAAAAGATGGGGGTTTAATAATATATATGTCTAACATCAGAAGCTGCATGCAAAGGTCAGGTTTTCAGGAAACAGCTACAAGTGATCTATGCAGAAGTCAATCTATCTACAGAGTACCCACTGTACTTTCAAACGCATGCATATCAAAGTTTCAGAAGCTATATTTTATAAGGTGAGGAAAGGGTGTCTGCAGTTAGTCCTACTACCGAGCAAAACCTACCTGGAATGAAATACTGTTCTTTAGCTAAATAAAAAAAGAGAAAAAAAAATAGAAGATGCACCTGAATGTCAGCAAGCAGAGATATGAGTTATATTAGATTAAGAATGGACTATAGGTACTATAGATAATTAAGTGAATCATATTCACAGCAGTGGCTGAAGTATAATAATGTACAGTGAGTAGTAAATGTCTCTAGAACCATGGACAATAAACAGCTTTGTTTTGATATTAGCTTTTTAGTATGAATTAACTGCCGAATGTGAAATACCCCTGGAATAGTTAGACAGCATACTACTCAAAACATACAGAATGTATTTTATCATAAGAACACAGAAAAGATGAGACCAAAGCGAACAGAAAATTTCAATGAAGTAAGCCTTTTATATAATAGTAACATAACGGATCTAGATTTGGCTTTTTGTAAATAAATATAATATTCCCAAAATGCTAAAAGATGGCCTTTTGGCAAAAAAAAAAAATTATCCTCACAGTCCTATTTAAAATAAGAGGGTGAAAAATAAGTAAACACATTTAGTGTGCGAAGCAAGGGATCAGGAAATTTTTCCCCCCTACTTCTGAACCTGAGCAAAATCACATAACCAAGTCTCAGTTCACTTTCTGAAGAAATGAGAACATGATTGATTACCTTAAGTTTCTCAAAGGAGAATAATACAACAGGCATGAGACTTAACAGACATAAAACGGATTCTGAGCTTGCTAAAAGGCCCCTGTTTAGTTTGAACCCTAAAAATGCAGTATGAAGTATCCAAGCATCATTTTTTCTTGGCTGGTAGCCTATTTGTTATGCTGGATATAGTGTTAAAATATTACCTATAGGAGTGCTATATGAATTGTGCCTACAGCTCCCTTTATTTTGTTCTTTATAGACAGAAGAAAAAAGTATATTCTACAATGTTTGGTAATTCATCTGAAGACCAGCAGTCTCTAGGTCTCCATAACCACTGTTTTTGGTCACACAGGGGAAATATCACATGAAGTAAGAAATTACCTGAACAACGGAATTTCTTGCTTTTGATTTGTCCGATTCTTTTGTTTGCCAGACGCCGGGGGCTGGTGCAGCGGGCACCACTGGTCTCGATGGGGTTGGTATGGAGATAATCCGCCAGCCACTTGAGATGGCAGTCACAAATAAAGGGGTTCTGGGCCAAATGCCTTTCAGAAACACAGACAGAACACTTTTATACATGACTTGCAATGAACTCAACTCTCAAATTCACAGTGAGGAGAGCAGTCATCGTATTTGATCCAAGCCATATATACATACATGGTCTGAATGGCCCGGAGAGGTGAAAAAGTCCCCTTGGCAATGGTCTGAAGCTTGTTGTCGTACAAGGAGAGAAGGTTCAAGTTGTGCAGATCCTGAAAAGCATCTACCCGAAGGCAGTTTATCTTGTTGGCATTCAATAATCTGTTTGATCAAATAGTTGCAGAATTAAAGTGTAGCATCTCGTTAACCTACCTTCAAGATTCTGTCCTTCTTGAGAAATACAAGAAATCAAGAAATAACATTTCTCTGAACCTCAACACTAGCATTTTAACTGGAATAATTTAGGTACCACAGGTGGAAGATATTCCAGATAAAGCAAGGGTCATGCGGTTTAATGAATGCCTAAATCTAGTGGTACTTACACATTTATTCAATAAAATTATTCAACATATTCTCTGGAAGATGTAGAGGTAGGGCAGTAGACAAAGGTGGGTGAGACCCAATGTCTCCTGTCAAGGACGTCATAGAACATTAGTCTCTCTAGCTGCTCTGTGAAGAAATTCAGTCTATTTTCAAAACAGAAGCCAGAGTGGCCTTTTAAAACACAGGTCACTTTCTCTCAAAGCCAGGCAGCAACTCCCAAATTGTTCTGGGGGAAGCCAAGGTCCTGACAAATTGCCTCAATGCCCAGTAGGACCATTAGCGCCCCCTTCTGAACTCCTACTACCTCTAATATAATACCTAATTATATTACCTCTATATACCTCTCCCTGGCTGCTTCAGCTCCAGCCACACATGTCTCTTTGTGGGGGTCTCTGCTTGGAATGTTCTTTCCCTTGAGGTCTGACTATTCTGCTTCTTTGAGTCTGTTGCAATCTTACTTTCTCAATTCAGCCTAGCCTGACTCCTCTCTTCAATACCATCACCTGTGTTTGCCCCACTTCAACCTCCAGCACACGCAATTCCTTTACTATGATCTGTTTATTTTTTTTCTATTTTCTTAAATACATATTTCTCTCTGTTACATATGATTTACTTATTACATTATTGCTGCCATTTGTATGTTCCCCCAGACAGGCATTTTTGTTTGTGCCAAGCACATACAAGGTGCTCCATAAATATGTTGTTGAATGAACACTTTATGATCCTCTTGGAGAGTGACATGGTTCATAACCCTATTAAAGGCCCTGGTCCTGCAGTATAAATGCCCATTTAACTTGGTTTAACACAATATACCACAAACTCATTTTTTTTCCAACATGCTATCAATATTTGACTTCAATATTCTATGGAACTGTGGTTTACAAATCATACTTTGGCAAATGCCATTCTTGTATGTTGTATGGGATTGTGTCTGGGTTTTTATGCATGTTGGACTCCCTTTGGGAATACACTTGCCTTGCCCTCCACCTTCCTCAACGCTCTGGCCTATCATGGCTGCATGGGAAGCTCACCTTTTCCAGAAGCTTCTACCCAACTGAAGTATTTCTTCCTCTAGGTCCCCAAGGAAGTTATTCAGTGCTACTTAGTCTTGGCACCTCCTTTCTGTAGGCCTACGTGTTTGCCCAAAGGTGGATTAGTGACCTCCGTGGGCAGATAATTTTTTTTGATACTTTTATCTCTATTAGCATTTATTTTACTGCTTTGATACTTAAGACTTGAACAAATATATAGTAGCTCAAAAAAATATGTGCTCTGTCATTTAGATTTGTATGCCTTCTTATTTAACACACTGAAAAATGTCTTCCCTTTTGTCCACTAAGAATCTCTATTTTTAATTAACATAGGGTATTTCTTCTGCCTTACTTGCTTTTTTAGGTATCCACACACATGCAAAGCTGTGACTTCCTCAGAATAATTCTCTTCGCTCCTCTTTTTTTTTTTTTTTTAAACCTCCCTTTAGGACCTGACATTTTGGTCTTCTCTGTGGTCCTCATAATAGTTTCTCTAAAGCTTAGGAACTGGTTTCAGGTATGGACTGGTAATCCCATTTCTCCACCCTGCACCACAACACAGGTCACACTGACTGTGTTCCCCAATCTGTCAGCTAACTGAAGAAGTCAGAGAGCAGAAATAAGGAGAAGGAAAAAGTGGGGAGCATTGAAGACAATTGAAGAAAGTGCTGTTTTGAGCATTTTGTACTTACTTTAAATTATGTGGTCAGCAAAGTAGGAGAAAGAAAGTATTGCACACACTACTTTCTTTTGCTCTTTCCATTTACCTACTTCTTTTCCCTAGTACCTCATCTGTTCAAGCAAATCTAAGATGCTTAAAGTTCTCAGCTAGCCAGAAAGAGACAATTGTGTTGCTTTAGCCCTGGCAGCCTTAGGAACTGGCCTTCATCTAGAGATAACATATTAGGCTGAGGGACAAAGATAGCTTTTTAAGTAAGATTTATCTGTATACAGATCCCATGGTTTATTAACGTGGTTGTTATGTCAGCCACCAATAAGTATGTGTGGAAGGAAAAAGAAGGTACTGTTTAAGTGTTAGTACTAGACAAGCAAGTGATAGCAAGAGATTGCAATTAAATGGCAAACATAATAGTGCTAGGAGAAGGTAGAAGAATGACAGAGAAACAAATAACACACAGGCAATACTTGGCTATAGCATCCAGATATACCTATAATGTGTATAATGTATATAGAGTCATTCTATTAAAGATCAGAAGCAATATTTGCAGAGCCCACCTCAAAGGTTAAAAAATAATTTGAAACCCAAATAAAGACATTAGGTCATAAGGATCAGTATTTTTCATGACTTACTGGTCTGTTGTAAAATCAATTTATTGGGTTGCACAGTACTAAAGGGACAGAAAAAGAGAGACCAGAGCAAGAGATAGACCGAGAATGCAGTAAAATGGAGAGTACTATACATACTAAAGGTAAATATTGTTTTGTTAACAATTTGCTTCATTTGTGTGCATCTGTGTGTTGTGCAGGAAAACTGGGTTGTGATATAAAATATGTTTCTGGATAATGATGAAAATTTAAAACATGAATATTAGGATATAATTATAACTTACATTGATCAAGTAAGGAAAAAGATCTACATTTGGGAAATCTGTGGGATTAGCAGTAAATTTTTGCCAAATCAATGATACAAACCCCAATACCAACAAATGTATACACCAAAAGAGAAAATAACATTTTAAACTTGAGAATTTTCAGGTAGACCGACTATGAACTAGTTGAGAGAGTACATCATACTCATCTGGGTATCCACAGCAGCCCCAAGGGAGGAATTCTATGTATGTTTGGTGATTTGAAGAGAATTTGATGATCTAACACTAACCATCTTAAGACTAGCGTATTTTTTTCCAATTTCCTTAACACCTGTGGTCAAGTTTTGTTCTTATACACATATGTATAGTGCATTCTTCTTTTGAGACAAAGAAGAGGTAGCTACTCTCTAAGCAGAATGGTTTTTAGAAGATGCAGGCCAGGGGTTTACAGATAATTTTCTGAGTAAACACCAGTTGGAGGGCTCCTGCTGTGTTCTGGCCCCCTGCAACCACCTCTGGATTGGGGACACGGTATTCCACATTGTCCCTCCTGCAGATGCTTTGGACAAAAGGTAGATAAACCTCTCACTACGTCACTCTTCTTCCCAACTACTGTTAAATCAAAACAGAGAGTCTCACAAAGGGCAGAGATGGCACAAGCTTTTAATGACAGAGTAGCCAAGAAGCCTACATTTGTGACAGGGTGGACAGAAAGGTTTTAAGACAACTTCGAAGTGCTGTGTCTTCAAAAAATAACACCCATCAATGTTAGTTGTACTATACTAATCTTTTCCATTTCATTAAACTATGTCATTTGGGGTTGAGCTTTTCTGAAGTCTCCATGAAACCATGAGAGTGTACACTGACTAAAATATAACGCTTGGTTCAACAGATCAGAAACCATCAAATACTTACAGTAACTGTAAGGAAAATAGTCCTTCAAATAAACTTTTTGGGAGTTCCGTGATTTTATTTCCATAGAGGACACTGAAAAAACATGATTTAAATGAAAAAAATTAGACATCAAGCCAGCATAACAAATTGATCCAACACATATGTATTCAGGCATATAGGAGGTTAGTAAGCACTCTATACATCATAAAAGCTACAGTTGAGTAAACAAACTTCAATTTGCAAATGTGTTTTTTTCCTGATTATAGATCATATATATGCTTATGGCAGAGAGTTTAGAAATCACTGAAAAACAGGGGTACCTGGGTGACTCAGTCAGTTAAGCGCCCAACTCTTGATTTTGGCTCAGGTCATGATCTCAGGGTCATAAGATCAAGCCCTGAATTGGACTCCAAACTCAGTGGAGAGTCTGCTTAAGATTCTCTCTCTCCCTCTCCCTCTGTCCCTCCTCCTGCTCATGCTCTCTCTCTAAAATAAATAAATCTTTTAAAAAAAGAAAGACTAAAAAAGAAAAATTAACAAAAATGAACACAATTCATAATTCTATTGCTCTTTCTTAGAAATGTCCACTGTTCAATTGTCATGTTTTGCAACACACACACACACAGTTCATATATAATGAGTGCATACTATAGTAACAAAGGAGAACACTAAATGTGGAATTCATTACTCATTAAAGGGATGAGTTTTAGGCTTATCATACTGGTAAAAAATGAAAGGAATCTAGATAAAGGTAAGGTTTTTGCTACATAATGTGTATGTTTGAGAAATGTTAAGATCTGTGAAGAAAGTGATCACTAATATGGTTACAGAAACATTTTTGAAATGTACATTTCTGCAAAAATATGAACAGGAATGCATCCTCATGGTATTCACCTCTGATCAGCCACTAAGTGTAGCCACCAAGTGCAAGCACATGGCTTAGACCCTTCAGTACACCTGGAGCCTAATGTTGATTTGAGTATGCAGTGACATTGTAACATTGGATTGATGAATGATCATTATTGGATGAGTGAGATGAAGAAATAAGTTAGCAAGGGGACAAATTAAGGAATAATTAACAAACTGGGTGAAATGAGGGGATTTCAACAACAAATGAATAGAAATATGTTGACTCATCATATTGGCTATTAACAATAATTCCGAAATGATGCTTATCTACTTCTAACCCCCAAAAGAAGGGAACCACAATTATGAATAGGAAAAGATGGAAATTATAGTCCTTAGGGGAATAATATGGCAATATATATCAAGAGCTGTAAGGACATTTATAAAAATTTTTACTTAGTTTCACTCTTAAGAGCTTAAGAAAATAATTAGAGAAAGACACAATATTTTATGCACAAAATGTTAATCATGATATAATTTATAACAATGAAAAAATACACACAAATAAAATGGCTCCAAGTCCCAAAAAAGGTATTAAATGTATATTACACATTTATAAAAATTGTATTTTGAAGAGTAATGACTTGAAAGTGTTGATGATATAATGTTAAATTTGAAAAAAAAACATAATAAAGTAGTATATTATAGTATGATCTTAATTTTGTTTAGAAAAATATATACATGTATACATAGGAAAAAGCCGAAAATCTCTGGATGGCAGGCAATTTGCTATTCAGAGGTGATTTTAATTTGCATCTATATATTTTTCTTTATTTTTATATTCTCTGCAATGATCTTATTTCTTCTGAAAATGAGAAAAGTAATTTCTTGGAAAGGACATGAAGGATGTCATAATATGTAAAGGAAAAAGCTGAAATAAAATCTAAATAATTAATACGTTTGGCAACAGTACATGATTTCTGTTTGGAAAGGAAGAAAATAACAATACAAGAGAAATGACTATGAGTGAGGGAAAGCTGTTGTTTCCTTTTAAGATGTCACTGAGAGGTGGGACGTATTACAATATAGGAAGGAACTTCTCAAGGGAATAAATAAATATAGCTGGACACTATATTGTGTAAGGAGGCATTCCATTTGTATAGATCCCAGTGGTATAGTTATACAGTATAACAAAAAATTCACTTGTGCAGAATATAGATGCTTTGGAAAAGGTAAATCATTAGAGAAGAAGCCATTTAAAAAAAATCAAAGAATAAAAGAGAGAATTCTGTATTGTCAAGGTCAAAGAGGTAAGGGAATTAAGAAAGGATAATCAAAAACAATTGTATTATTTAAGGTCAGAAATAAGAGAAAAGAGGGCTTTTGGAAACACACATGAACAGATCAAGGCAGCACCGTTTCAGGATATTCAATGCAATACCATTCAACTGATTAATTTAACAATAGATATCATATACTTATAATGTGCCAAGAGTTTTACTAGGTTCTAAGCTTGGTGTCCAATTAAGCTGAATCCAACTGTTACTTGTTGAATGATCATCATTTGCCCTTGTGCCACCAGACTAATACAAGTGAGGTGAATGAAGTATTATTTCAAAGAGCAACCCAAAATAGGAATTTTGAATACTGAAGGAATTTCATATTTTGAGCCCATTGAAATATAAAAAGGAAATAGGATGCATATAAATTTTGGGGGACCCATAAAAGAATTAAGGAGCAAGTTGTGAAACTAGAAATCAACTATAAGAAAAAAATATGGAAAGAGCACAAATACATGGAGGTAAAATAACATGCTACTAAATGATGAATGAGTCAACCAAGAAATCAAAGAGGAAATAAAAAAATACACAGAGACAAATGAAAATGAAAACATGATAGTCCAAAATCTTCAGGACACAGTGAAAGCTATCCTAACAGGGAAGTTTATAGCAACACAGGCCTTCCTCTCAAAGCAAGAGAAAATCTCAAATGAATAACTTAACTTAACACCAGAAGGAGCTAGAAAAAGAAAAAGAAATAAAACTCTAAACCAGCAGAAAGAATAAAGATTAGAGGAGAAATAAATGAAATAGAAACTAAAACAACGATAGAACAGATCAATGAAATAAGGAGTTGCTTCTTGGAAAGATCTACAAAATTGATAAACCTTTAGCCAGACTCATCAAAAAGAGAGAGAGAGAGAGGACTCAAAATCAGAAACAGAATAGAAATAACAACTTATACCACAGAAATAAAAAAGGATTATAAGAAAATATGATGAAAAATTATATGCCAACAAATTGGACAACTTGGAAGAAATGAATAAATTCCTAGAAATATATAACCTCCCAAATGGAATCAGGAAGAAATAGAAAATATTTTTAAATTTTATTTTATTATGTTATGTTAATCACCATACATTACGTCATTAGTTTTTGATGTAGTGTTCCAATATTCATTGAAGAAATAGAAAATTTGAACGGACTGATTACCATCAATGAAATTGAATCAGTAATTTAAAAAAACTCCCAACAAACAAAAGTCCAAAACCAGTTGGCTTCACAGGTGTATTCTACCAAACATTTAAAGAAGAGTTAATACCTATTCTTCTCAAACTGTTCCAAAAAATAGAAGAGGAAGGGAAGTTTCTAAATTTGTTCTATGAGGCCAGCATTACCTTGATACCAAAACCAGATAAAGACACTACAAAAAAAGAGAGCTACAGGCCAATACCTCTGATAAACATGGATGCTAAAATCCTCAACAAAATATTAGCAAACTGAATCCATTAAAAAAATCATTTACCATGATCAAGTGGGATTTATTCCTGGGATACAATGGTGGTTCAATATTTGCAAATCAATCAACACAGTATATCGCATCAACAAGAGAAAGGGTAAAAACCGTATGACCATTTCAATAGATGCAGAAAAAAGCATTTGACAAATTACAACACCCATTCATGATGAAGACCCTCAACAAATAAGGTTTAGAGGGAACACATCTCAACATAATAAAGGCCATCTAAGAAAAACCCACAGCTAACATCATCCTCAATGGTGAAAAACTGAGATCCTTTCCCGTAAGGTCAGGAACAAGATATAGATGTCCACTCTCACCATTTTCATTCAGTGTAGTACTGAAAGCCCTAACCATAGCAATCAGACCAAGAGAAAGAAATAAAAGGCATCCAAATTCGTAAAGAAAAACTAAAATTTTCCCTAATTGCAGATGATATATTTTGTGTAGAAAACCCTAAAGACACCACCAAAACACTACTAAAACTGATAAAACGAATTCCATAAGGTTGCAGGATATAAAATCAATATATAGACATCTGTTGTTTCTATACACTAAATAATGAAGTAGCAGAAAGAGAAATTAAGAGAAAAATCCCATTTGCAATTGCAGCAAAAAGAAGAGAATACCTAGGAATAACTTAACTAAGGAGGTGAAAACCTGTACTCTGAAAACTATAAAACATTGATGAAAGAAATTGAAGACAACATAAATAGAAAGATATTCCATGCTCATGAATTAAAGAATAAGTATTGTTAAAATGTTGACATTACCCAAAACAATCTACAGATTTAATGTAATCCCTACCAAAAAACCAATACCGGGAGGAGCATTATGGCAGAGGAGTAGGAGACCTAAATTTCATCTGGTCCCAGGAATTCAGCTAGAGAGGGATCAAACCATTCTGAACACCTATGAACTCAACAGGAGATCAAAGAAAAGAATAGCAGCAACTCTATGAACAGAAAATTGACCACTTTCTGGAAGGTAGGACCTGCAGAGAAGTGAATCCGAGGCAATATTCGGGAAGATAGACCACAGGGGGAAGGGGCCTCCGTCAGGCACTACCGGCAAGTGATAGAGTAGCAGAGCACAAAATCTGAACTTTTAGAAGTCTGGTGCACTGAGGGATGTCACTCCAGTGGCTAAGCAGGAATGGAACCCTCGCTGGGACAGTGTGGTCTCAGGACACTCGGGGTCACAGGAAGACCGGAGGTGCCTGAGTGCCGCAGAGCTCCCAGGTATCGGAGCAGGGAAGCTGGCTGTAAAGACGGAGCCGAGGAGTGGGCTCTCAACTCGTGGTTGCCATAAACCATGATCTGCGGCACAGTTGGGCCAATGCTCTTCCAGCAGGGACCCAACAAGCGGCAGATGCGAGGAGACTCCCCTTCCTCCCCTGGGAGGAGTGGTGCGGGAGCGCACCGCAGGGATCAGCGCACCGCAGGGAT